ACAAGGGAGTGACCTTTGGTTCCTATGGTTGAAACTGTTCACTAATTGCCCTAACTGTCCCTCAATATTTTTAATTGCTAGCCCATGACTTTATGTTATCAAATTTAACTGTCTCACCAACTCCTCCAAAGTGGTTAGGTTTTTGTTCTGATTTGGATTAAAGTGAGGGGGTTGGGTTGGTCTTTGGACTAATTTGTTCTATGCTCCACCCCATTAATAGGTTCGGTTGTTATTGTTCAATTGAAAGTTAGGGTGTTGTTTCCATCTAGGATTGTAGGTATTTGACTATGGGTTGTGGCCTTATTCTGGTTTCCTATGGCTTTCAAGGCTTCTAAGGCTGAGGTTGTAGAGTCTAGCAAAGTCTCTATTCTGGTTTCCTATGGCTTTCAAGGCTTCTAAGGTTGAGGTTGTAGAGTCTAGCAAAGCCAGTGGCCTTATTCTGGTTTCCTATCGCTAAAATCCTCTACCCGGGGTGGGACTTGTACTGCATTCACAGTGAGATTATCAAATTTCTTAGACATTACATCAACTTGGTTAGCTAAGATATTTAGGACATCAGATTCATGCACACTAGCAACCTTTTTGGGTTGCACTCCCTTAGCAAGCCATTGAAAACTATTGGTGGTCATCTCCTCCATCAAATCATATGCCTCTTTATAAGTTTTGGACATCAGTGAACCTCTTACAAAAGCATCTATAAGAGACCTAAGGGAACCTACAAGTTCGTTATAGAAGGTTGGGACAATTAGCCAGCTGGGTAAGGTATGGTGGGGACAAATCTTAAGAAACTCTTTAAATCTCTCCCAAGCCTCATAAATGGTTTCCCCCTTGAATTGTGAGAATGATTTGATGTCATTCCTAAGCTTGGCAACCTTGAAAGGAGGGAAATACTTGGCTAAGAATTTTTTAGCTAAATTATTCCAAGTGGAGATGGATCCTGGGGCTAAAGAGTTCAGTCACCCATTGGCTCCATCCTTAAATGAAATGAGAAAATGTTTTAGTCTAACAACGTCACTGGAGACATCGTTATACCTGAATGTGGCACACAATTCTAAGAAGTTAGCTAAGTGCATATTTGGGTCTTCAGTGGGCTCCACAAAGTGATTTTGCCGAACCATTTGAATCATAGCAGGTTTTAGTTCAAATGTATTAGTTTCTACTGCAGTGTAATTGATCCTCATGAGAATCTCCTCAGCAGTGGGGTTGGCAAAGTCTCTAAGGGGTCTCATGGTTAGGTTCAGATGGTGAGTCATTCGTGCAGATGTTTTAGGTTCAATGAGTGCTTTCCTACGACGTCTAAATGTCCGCTCAATTTCAGAGTCAATAGGTGTAATTCAGTGTGTGCACCCTTACGTATACACTAGAAGAAAAGTGAATGTGAACTCACAAACTAGTAATCCTAAATGCAAAAAAAAAATGAAAAACACAACTGGCTCTAAGCAACACAAACACAAGTGTCATTTCAACACACGATCATAATCAACATGCAAAGACTCAAAGAATGCAAGAAAACAAAATGATTAACAGCAGTTTTTCTTTTTTTTGTTTTTTGGCTTTTTTATTTTTTTCAGCACTTGCAAAGAAGAATATAGAACAATACCAGAGCACGTAGAAATAATGAAAGAAAAAAAAAACTTCAGACAAAAAAAAATAGAAAAAATATCAAACCTAGATTTCTAGTTGTTCAACTACAGTTCTCCTATGCTTCACGCAACTTCTGCGACAACATCGCCAAGAACTTTATGGCCGCAAAAAGCACCGTGGAACGGGCGACTTCACACAGGCATACATGACCAATTAGTAAACGATTTAGAAGGAATATCGTGTATCGTTCACACGAAAAGAGTGTTAAGAAATCATTTGAAATAGAAAAAACTATAGTTTACTAACTACTCCAACCTTATTGGCGAGAACAGAAAACAGAAAAGGCATCCTAAATCTATCATATTCCATATAAAACAAAATAGAAGAAAGAGTGATTCTATTTTCTTTGATTTTTTTTTCCAAAAATAATGAAGAACGTGACTCTGTGATTCAGGTATGGCACCTGGCTTAATTTTCTTTTGCAAATTTCTCTTACGTGGTTGTCATCAACCAGAGATATTATGTTCTTCTTAATTCTATGTCTAGGTCCCAAAAAGATTCGAAATTCAAGAAAAACAGCTTCCACCTATCTTTAGGGATTTCCCAATAATTTCAGAACAGTGCTAAGTGTTGCAAAATCTAGAATAAAATATTTCTATTTTACTCGAATCTCGTGGTTAACCTAATTGTTTCACTACGCTTTTGTCGAAGTCGTAGATCATAATAGACTTTAACGTCCTAACTGGTCATGTTAGGAGTAAACGAAGGTCAAAAGGTTAACCAATAATGTTTATCAAATTAAAGAGCAGAAAATGTATATTAGAAATCAAGAACGAAAAGCAAACCAAGAAATCCATCCAAAAATCAAGTTAATTAGCTGCTCATGGCTTGAATGAAAAACAAAAGAAATTTCATTCAAATAAAACCTGCAAGAAACATTTTTATTGAAATAAAAACAACTTACAACCATTGAATCTCTTCTCTTACAAGAACAGCACTCAACTTCTCTCAAAAACCTTTCTAAAAAAAACTGAGCAAAGAAATTTGAGAGCAGAAGAAAACCTCCCTCTAAACCTAGCCTCCTTCTGCAATCTCCCCTCCAAAAGTTTTTAATTAAGTTAGTTTTATAGCATGAGTTCAAAATTCTTCCCAACTTCCTCAGAATCCTGCAATAAGGACTTTTCAAAATATAAAATATGTGTCATTATGACCACACCCGTTCTACGGTGTAATTACGCAACATGCTCGGGTTGGGCGGCATGATCACACAGTGATTCGGTGTGGCTACGTCAATCCCTCAATCGCATGGTTCATTTTAGTATTTGGCTATGACCACACCCAAAATCGGCATGATCACCTGCTCAAGTGGCGTGGCCATGTCAATTCCAGGTGTGGCTATGGCAGTCTAGATTCTCCCAAAATTCCTCGTTCCACTCTGATTTTTGTGCTAGTCCTGCAACCTGCAAAATGCGATTCCAACCTTCTAAAAGCATAAAATCATATATTTAAAGTGAAAAAATGTTGGAATTAAAGCACAAAAAGTGTCAAAATTTAATACATGTCAATAGTCGGCTCCCATCATCGATGATCAATGATTTGCATAATCTCATCTACGAGAATAATAAAATGCCAAAAAAACAAATTTTCTCAGTCAAAGAAAATTGTTCTCATATTAATGACTTTTTCCATTTCAGATGATCAGAGGATCTCACCAAGAGGCGGTTAGACAACCACTTGGTTGGTCTCATTGGCTGAAGCAAAGGGAGCTGCACCCTCACGCGATTGGACCTAGGTCTCTACAATCAACTGGACTGATAGTTGAGCCTGCCATTCACGGATCGTTGCAAGCACTAGTCCCCCCAGCTTCCCATCTCACGGTAGAGTGTCATTGAGTCAGATGATTTAGTCACTCTCTCCAGTCTCTCTACCTTTGTTTCTTATGAACCATATGTTTGACCGGCATTTTTCCATCTAGCGGCTCCCTCCTTCTGATCTCTTTGTGCCCACTGACTAGCCTTCTTCTTTCAATCTCCTTGTTATTATTGATCGACTCTCATCTCCCGATTTCTTCTTTAAACGAGTCAGCTTCCCTCCGACTTTAATTTCTTCCCTGCATCTTTAGAGCGGTGGAATTTCCCAGCCGAAACTCCAAAGGTTTTCATAATAGCCACCTCATTTACTGACTCAGTAAGATGACTTCTTATTACTCGTCATTAGTATCTCTCCTGTTACCAACCAACTAAAGGGTAGAAAGCTGAGAAAAAGTGTGGAGAAGTGTTAACCACACACTATTTATAGGGACAACTGGCACAAAAATCCTGCGGGTTTAATTATTAAAAGTACATTTTATGTAATAATCAAGTCAATTTTTCCATTTAAATTTCTTATTCTTATCGTAGTTGTCACTTTCAATATGTAGGGAGCTGAATCATGCTCCTATATATATATATATATATATATATATTTGCAAGAATCTCGAGGAAATCCATGAGTCTCGCTTATGAGTTCCAAAGGACAGTGTATCAAGATAATTAAAAGATTGAATCAACAATCGTTGTTTCATTCGATCGAAATTCTGAGTCGATCGAACGAATGAATAGAAAGAACACAATCCAAGGGACAGTCATTCATGACAAGCTCCCTCAGTTGATTTCAAAACTCTTCACAAAGATGATCAAAGGATACCCCACATAATATCTTTTTGATCCTCTGAGAAGGCTCTTGTCTAAAAAGAGCTGCTCATCAGATTACGGTGATATAACCTCTGTTTGATGGTCTAAGTTCACCCTAACGACATGAGCGTCTCTTCTAAGGATTCCCTCCAAAGAGCTGACAGAGTGTATGTCAGCCAATCAAAGGTTTGCAGCTGACAGAACGATAAGGTTACTAGGTCGTTAGATGCCCTTCTTCAAGCAGTTATGAATATGAACAGTGCTAATATCGGTTATGAATATGAAAAGATGTTGAATCCAGTTATAAATATTAGAAATTGTCATAATAACTTATAATGTTCCTACTAAAACAAGGACAAACATATAATTTTATACTAGATACTCCTGAAATATATAAATAAGAAGTCATTTCTTCAATAAAGAACAATTGAATTCACTCTATCAAAACTCATGTGTTGTTGTGCTTTCTCTCTCTCTCTCTCTCTCTCTCTCTCTCTCTCTCTCTCTCTCTCTCTCTCTCTCTCTCTCTCAGTCTCAATCTCCCTCTCTGTGTTTCTCTTGTCTGTCCTAAACTTTTTCTCTTGTCTGTCCTAAACTTATACCTTGGGTGTAATTCACAAAAAATTTCTAGATTAAGCAAATTATTATGTAAATGTTGTTAGTCATATTAGGATATAAGAATTCTGTGATATGTATGCAAATCCCACATTATAAAATAAAAAAGCAAAGCATTTACTCGCATACCTTGGCCCATCCTTCCTTGGCTCCCTGTACAAGCAACGGCACCAGAGTGTTGTCACCTGGCCCAAATGGATTGCTTACTCTCAACGCACAAGTTGAGAGTCCATCTTTACTGTTTGCCATCAAAATCATCGCTTCCGCCTGTGCCCTCAACTCACTCAAATTATCCACAAACTGTACGGCAACAAAATAAAATTCGATTACAATCGACAAAATCCATAAAGTTCAAAGCCAAATGCAATTAAGGTCCAGCAAATCGACACCATAAAAAACCCTAACCCTCTCTGGGTACACCACCGACTCATTCCAACAGCAAACCTCATTCGCTCCGCCAATCACCACGTCGGCAGAGCCCACGTACACCAATCGCTGCACTCCACATTCAAAACACGTGGCGATCACGTTTCTGGCACCCTGAACGAGGAGACGGTGCAGTCCATGAAAATCAGAGGAACGCACAGGCGGCGCTTGAAGGGTTGTGACGGTGGGGTCAACGTGAAAAACAGCTTCGGCATCAGTGAAGGCTGTGACGAAAGAAGGAGATCGGTTGCGAATGTCCACATGATGGTAGGAGACACGGCCAGATTGAAAAAAGGGGGAGAGTGAAGGAGTTGGATCAGAAGCCGGGAGGGGGTCAATGACGCGGACAGTAAAGCGACCATCGCCGAGGAGGGCGGCAACGACAGATCGTCCAACGAAGGAGCTTCGGCCAAAGGTTACCGCAACGATTATCGATGCACCGCCAGCTTCCGCCATGAGAAGTAGGGAGAAACGTAATAAGAAAGAAGACGACGAACTTTGACTTGCTATGGGCAAAACAGTTTGCCTGAGCAGATTCTGCTGGCGCGCCTAGTCAGGCCACATGAACAGTTCTACAAAGTGTTCTTCTTTGGATAAATAAACGAGACAAACACGAACACATTTTTTTCATTCAGTTTGTTAAACGAATCAAACACGAACAGTCTTGCGTTCATTCGTGTTCGAATCGTTATTGTTCGAAATAAAAAAATAAAATAAATAAATATATATAATTTATGTTATTTTAAAAATAATTATATGCTCAAAAAATTTATTATATTTTAAAAATTAAACATGTAAAGTATAATGTACAATAAATTGTTAATAATAAAATATTTATATACTACTTAATAATATATATATATATATATTATATTTATATAACATAAGATATATAATTAATATAATGTATTATATTATTATTTATTTATTTTTATCTACGGATACAAAACCACTAATCAACAAG